GCTATCAACTAGTCAGTCACCATTTCTGTCTGCCATCTGTACATCTGCAGTCCTCCTCTTCCTTCTAACTTTTACTTTTTCATTCTCTAAAGTCCTGGAAATAAAGCTTGTTAGAACTATGTATAAAATAAGAGTAAATAAACCAAGTTGTAAAGATGTCAGGAACTGTCCTATGAATAAAACAGAAGAGCTTTGGTACATAATATTTATGCTGCTTGTTTTTAGGTCTTTTCTGTATAGCTCATGCTACCACAGAGCTGAATTTTGGGTAAGCGAAGTATCACTGTATCATAAACGTAGAGGTATTAAACACCTAGCTTTCTCATTTCCTTGGCACAATTATCTTTGATGTATTTTTTATGGTTTATAAAATACTGCCTTGTGTTCTTTAAATCTTTTCCTTAATTAAAAAAACTCTTCATATTAATATGTGATTTTCTTCTAGTGGTAACATTTAATTACAAATTTAGAAAACTACACAACTGAAGTAACACTTGCACAAAATGGGTTAAGCTCTGATATGGACTGAAGTGTGTCTCCCCACCAAATTCATATGCTAAAGCCTTAATCCTCAGTGTGACTGCATCCTTAAAGATGGGATCTTTTGGAGGTAATTAGGGTTAGCTGAGGTAGGGCCCTCATGATGGGGTTAATTAAGTCCTTATAAGAAGAGACACCAGAGAGCTTGCCCTCCCTCCACCATGTGAGGACACAGCAAGAAGGCGGCCGTCTGCAAGCCAGGGAGAGAGCCCTCACCAGAACCCAACCATGCTGGCATGCTGATATCAGACTTCCATCCTCCAGAACTGTGAGAAAACAAATATCTGCTGTTTAAACCATTCAGTCTATGGCATTTTGTTATGGCAGCCTGAGCAAACTAATGCAAGCTCCAAGCAGCTTCTCGTTAGAGACAAACTTTATTTGTGCTCTTTCATTCTTTTATAAATAAGTTGTTCTTTTGCCCTAACAAATTATTCCAATTCCTTCATTTTTGCCTCATAAAAGTACAGGAAGTCTTTAGTAAAAGTCTACTGCCAGCTATTGCCATAAGTGTTAGGATATTTGAAAAATAGCTTTCAAATGTAGTTCCTTTTTTTTTTTTTTTTTAAGATGAATCTCATTTTGTTGCCCAGGTTGGAGTACAGTGGCACAATATCAGCTCACTGCAACCTCCGCCTCCTGGGTTCAAGCGATTCTCCTGCCTCGGCCTCCCAAGTAGCTGGGATTATAGGCACGCACTACCATGCCTGGCTAATTTTTTTATTTTTAGTAGAGAGAGGGTTTCACCGTGTTGGCCAGGCTGGTCTTGAACTCCTGACCTCAGGTGATCTGCCCACCTTGACCTCCCAAAGTGCTGGGATTACAGGTGTGGGCCACCATGCCCGGCCTCAAATCTAGTTCTATTATTCAGATAAGAACATTTCATAAGCAGGCAATTGAACAATATATGAAAATGTAATATTCAGGATAGTCCAAGCAATGTTTAGGTAAAAGTCTAGTAACTTGATTCATACTATAAAACATCTACCTTTCACTTAAAACAGTACTTCTTAACTGTTTTTAAAATTTTTTAGGGATCTTAACAAATTTCTCTCCATTAAACATATGGCATATGTATATTCATTTGTTCTTATATAATTTCTGAAGTTTTGCAGAGAAGTCACCAGACTAAGAACCTCTGCCTCAAAGAAAACTAAGCAAAACCAAACTGAGTGTTTTCAGCAAATCAAGCTTCATTCCTAACTTTTAAATGGCCGTTACAAAATGCCTCAGTGATCAGTTGCTTTGAATTGCTCTCATCTACAACCTGCAAGCTTTGCTCAGCCCTCTAATGTGAAGTAACATCAGATCTCTAGCCATAAAGCCACTCCCTTGAAAGTTCCATCTTTAGTCTTTTCTATCTTAGTTCAAGGTCTGCTGGCAGTGACGGACTCATCAGAATCTCGTTGTCCTCATGCATAGCTAAAACATGATCCCAGGTGGTTCAACCCTATGTGAATTTAAACGGATAGCTAAATTGTTCCAGAACTACTTTCCATGTCAATACCTTGAAAATACTGGTAAGTTAAATCCAAAAGGAGGCATGGAAGCTCCCTCTACAAAGAGTGAAGCTAGTCCAATTCTTAGGGAGAAGAGACAGCCATTACGCTATATTTAGAGCTAGGCATTCCGTTCCCCCAAACAACTCTCTCACCAGCCTAATTGCTTGAAGTTCCTGTTCTTGTTTAACACTAGGGCAAAACATTTCATTTTAAATTTGAGATAAGGTTTATAGTCCAAATATCCTGAAAAAGGTAATTTAGGGTATTAGGACCACTTTAACTTGGAATGACTATGGAGGGGGAACAATAGGGAGGCAAGATGCTGGATGCAAACCTAGATACCAAAGACAAAATGAGGCACACTTCCCTCACTCTCATTTTTTCCTAGGACAAGCAGCATAAGGAGTATCAGTTAATTGAAAAAGTCTTTACGAGATACCAGGAGCTGTGTTAGCTACTGAGGATAAAGCGATGATAAGAATATTGTGAAGCACACCACCATCCTAACAACATATGAGAAGCTCAAAGCCCATCAGCAGAAAGAGACAGGCCCTTTACAAATGAACATAATGATAGATTGAAGGTGCGATAGTAAAACAAAACAACGCAGAGCAGTTTTTAACTGTTGTGTGGTGGGGGAAAGGAGATGCAAATAGAACAGCACATTTGACTTGGATTTGTAAGGATATGAAGAATTTTGCCAGGTGGGGAAGTGGTGGAAGGGAGGAGTTATTTCAGGCAAAGGCAACATAAAAGCACGGCACAGAAGCATGAAGAGTACATGGAGTGCTCATGGAAAATCACTGGCGGCTGGGAGGGAGCCCCAATGGATTCTGGGGGATCGCAGCCTCTGGCAAAGGCTGAGGTTGCCTCTGGACCACATTACTCCCTTATGTATTTCTTTCTAGAGACATATTATTTTCAACTCTTTTGAGAAGAAACATTTAAACTGATTGTTTCTTATTTAAACTACGAATCTACTAAAATATCAGGCATTCTTCATAAAAATTATTGATAAAAATGAATTAAGAGTACAGTTCATTTACAATTTTTTTTTTGGAAGTTGCAATTGAGCTCCTGTTATAAAACAGAGACTGCGTGGACTCCTTAGTCAAAGAAACTCAGTTCAGAGGACAACAGGCAACAGTGGACAACCTGGTCATATGCTGTAGTCAGTCAATCAAGAGTTTGATTTCACCAGTATCCCTATCTTCCTTGCTTCCATGCATACTATTTATCTTTAAATTAAATACTAAATGAATAACATGCTTGTGATTGCTAATTCGGACATGGGCCACACCAACAGTTCTACAGGCTTGAAAACAAGATTTCTGCAGTTCCACTACATGTCCACTAGAGGCCTGTGAAGAGCTTTTTTCCCCCATCACATAGAGTCTAATAACCAAAAAGGCCAGAATTAAAACAAGAAATATTAATTAGACACGAGTAAGACAAGGATCTAATTGGTATGTAACCTCACAGTAAGTATCATAATTGTGGATAAAATAATCAGAATGCAACATTGTTTCAATACTCTAAGATACCAAATTGCAAAACTTATGAAACTACTCATATGTAACCACAAAAGCAAAGTTAAAAGAAGTAGAGTTTTGAAGACTTCAGCAACCATTCCAAAAGGCCATCAGACTCTGGCAGGCTTTGACTAGGTGGAAGACTGCACCAAGTGGTGAAGCAGCCTGAATAAAAATTGCCAGCAGCCTGTATGGGCTTCTAAGGAAAGGGGCTTCTAGATCTTCAAATGCATACTCAATCTGAAAGACAGGCAACCAACAGAGGGAAGCCTCCTTGGTGGGAAAATAAACAATGCAGTGATTTAAGGCAGATGGGCTGAGAAGGGACTTCCTAAATAGTGACTCCATGGAAGTAAACAGGGGAAGACAGGTGAGATATGGCCAGGACAGCGAGATGACACAGACCAAAACAGATCCTATGGTGAAGACTGTGGTAACTCTCAACTTCAGAGGACAGAGGGCAACTTAAAGCAAAACACTTAACATACTCAAGTAGCCAGGACAACTGCAAGACTGCGTGAGTACTGGAAAAATTACCAGAAGGACAAGATGCCCTGTAACACCCCTTTATCTCTTGTCGAACTCAAAACAGACTTTCATTCATTTCATGGCCTGCTTGAACAAACACAAACAAAAACGAAAAATATTAAAAGTCACATCACCCGTGCCAGGCATGGACACGCGAGTACACGTGTGCACACACACCACACGCACACACTACTTCTGGTCTATTTACAGAAACGGCCTGTTTTTCACTAGCTTTGGTTAATTAGCAATCAGAAGAGAGTTGTATGGGGTTGGAAGAAAGAACTCTTTGTTTGGAAAACCTGTGAAAATACTCCCTCAGAAGCTTGTAACTTTCCCTACGCATCACCCTGGCCCTGAGGACAAGCCCCTGTGCCAGACGCCTCAGTGAGGCACACAGAGCTCGCATTCAAAGGCAGTTCTCTTTGTTGTCCCCCAGGAGTTAAACCTTAAATGGGTTTACGATTTGTAGGCTTTTTTGGAGAGTGGCTTAGTGGTGGTTGCCTGCTGCCAAAAATGGAGCAGAGACAAACCCTAGTGAATCCCACAGCTGTTGTGGCTGCTCCATTGGACAGAAGAGCAGTTGCCTGAGGCATTTCAAAGACAAGCAAGAACACAGGGAGACTTTATGAGGCCTGGAAGTGAATTTGCAATTATTGGGAGCAGATGGTCAGTTCACATGGGGAAGAAGGAGATTGGAGCCATCGTTCTCCAGTGAAGACCATGGCAAATGGTAATTCACTGAGCCTTAGGTCCCCAGATAAATCTCGTATTGGAAAAGTATTCAGCTACAACATAAGATCATCATCTGTGGCTAGTTAGCTTTACTGTCACGCTCTTGACTTCTAAACCTAAACAGTCACAACTTGGACAGGAAAAAGCCGGTACATGCACATCTTACCTTGGTTAGAAAGAAGAAGAGGCGTGGCTGCTCTGGTAGAAATAGGGAGAATACTCATCCTGGTGCCCTGGGTTTCCCGGAGGTGGCCTGCCTGAACACCGCCTCCAACATTACTTTGCCCAGCCCTTTATTTCAGAAAAGTCTTCATTTTAAACAAACAGCCATGGATGCTGGGACACTGTTGAACGATTTTCAGAGTGGAGCTTTCATAATCTTCTTTTGTAAGCTATATCCACTTTTTTTCATCACTCTTTCCGGTCAAGGGCTGCTTTCTGATGCACAAGAATTCTCTTTTGCTGAAATCTCAGCCTATTTCCTGTTATCCTCATGTTGATTCATCTGAGAATCACATTATCTCTTCTAAGACACTGTTTACTTAGTCCATTATGACGCGTAAGGTCGGTCTTTACTCATTTTATGTTTGAATGATTAATTTGTTCAATGTACGCAAAGTACTCTTAAGTACCCCTGATGTGCAAAGTGCCAGCGAGGCACTGAGGAGGATGGAAGAACCATAACTGCAAGATGCTAAGAACCTGGTGAAAGAAGCAGAAACACTTGGGAAAGAACTGTAATACCTGCAAAGTGCCAAGATACGAGCATAGTCAGAATGTCGTGGGCACATAAAGAAGAGAGAAAATAATACTTATTTCCAACTGGAGAGACTGGGACACTAGCTTAGAGGAGATAGAGTTTCAGTTGGGCCATATATAGGATGACCTACGATCCCAGTTTTAAAACTTCAAGTCCTGCATCTCAGGACACTCCTCAGTTGGCAGGCCTAGTGATAAAGGACAGTTATAACTTTTAATTTATCTCAAGGGTGAGACACAGTGAAGACAATGGGCTGGGAGTGGAGATGAGGAGTTGATCGGCCCTCAAGCTGCTGACTTGGCAGCCATTGGTGCATAAGGCCCTGGACAGGGTGAAGATTTTCAGGACAGCAGGGCCAGGTTCTCACTGTGCCACACATTGCACAAGGCACCAGGGAGATGAGGCTCAGGCCTGGCACACGGGTGGTGGCTGAGTGGCTCTCTTTATAGACAGGGTATGAGCTCTGGTGCTTTGTAATCCTGGGACTCCTCTAACACACATGAGGGCTTACTCAGGCCGGCCTCACTGCCCTGCAGGCTAGGGCATTAGAGAACCCTACATTATGAATGAGGGACCGGAGGAGGGGCAGATTTGGGGGAGTTGTGGTCTAGGCCGTGCGCATCATTTTGAGTTGAAGGGAACATAATAAAAACTTGTGGCATACGTTCACATTTACCACCTCCCTTTGGAGCTCTATTTAGACCTACGTCTTAGAAAACTAACTGTTAAAGAATGGCCTTGGTCACATGGCCAGCAGGAGAAAGCTGGAGTGCAAACTGCAGACTCTCTTTCTGACTGCAGGCCCGGGGCATTCCCATAGCGTTTCCAGATGACTGAGGTTTACCTGAAACTTTAAAGATTTTAACAGCTTTATGATTCAGGGTCATTTTAGTATATAGTCATTCCTTAGTATCCACAGGGGATTGGTTCCACGCCCCCCTCACCCATACTAAAATCTGTAGATGCTCAAGTCCCTGATATAAAATGGCATAGTATTTGCATGTAACCCAGTACATCCCCCATATATTTTAAATCATCCTTAGATTACATATAATACCTACTGTAATGTAAATGCTATGTAAAAAGGCCGGGCATGGTGGCTCATGCCTATAATCCAAGCACTCTGGGAGGCCAAGATGGGTGGATTGCCTGAGGTCAGGAGTTCGAGACCAGCCTGGCCAACATGGTAAAACCCCATCTCTACTAAAAATACAAAAAGTAGCCAAGCAGGGTGGCGTGTGCCTGTAATCCCAGCTACTCGAGGGGCTGAGGCAGAAGGATCACTTGAACCTGGGAGGTGGAGGTTGCAGTGAGCCAAGATCACACCACTTGCACTCCAGCCTGGGTGACAGAGCAAGACTCTGTCTCCAAAACTAAATAAATACGCTATGTAAATGGTTCTTGTATTGCACTTTAAATTTTATATTTTGATTATTGTACTGTTATTCTTTTATTTTTAATTTTTTTTTCAAATATTTTTATCTGGGATTTGTTGACTCACAAGTGGGGAAGAACCCGCAGATGCAGAGGGACTACTGTACTCTGTTTAGTCATCCAGATCACTGGTTAGTGTGTTAAATCTTATCTATTCCAGGACAAGCGAAAACACAATAACTCAATTTATAATCTCTCATCTCTTCTCTTTTCCTCCAGAATCTTGCAATCATGCTCCAAAAACTTTGACGATGTGTATCTGAAACCAGCTCAATTGTCCCAAAGAAATGATATTTGCAGGTTTTTCAATAAACATAGAAATTGACCCTTTGAATTAAAATTAGAAACTTACATTTGTCTGTTCTGAGTGCCTTCCTCAGGAAATCAACCCTCAGGCAGGGGAATGAAACTCACTCAATCACTACATCCAGACAATGAGACATAAGACCCCTCATCCATCATGATTGCTTCCTTGTTCTTCCTAGTTCCCTGTTTTCCTGCATAAACTTCCTAATTTTAGTCCATTGTTGAGATGGATTTGAGACTAAGTCTCCCATTCTGCTTTGCTGCAGCACCTGATTAAAGCTTTCTTCTCTGGCAATACTTGTTGTCTCAGTGATTGACATTCTGTGCTGAGAGCAGCAAGACCTAGACCAAACCCCTGACATTTTAGTAACATATCAAGCACTGCTCAATGTGATAGCGTCAGAAGGCAGCCAAATGCCTCAGCATACAGGGGAGGTACCCAGTGAAACCCCACCTCCAAGCCAAAGAGAGTTTAAGGCCTGAAAGTCAAGCTACAGGTTAAATCCTAGGATTGGATTGAGAGCTTGTCTTCCTGTTTGGTGTGCTTTCCTCTGATGGATCCCCACCCTTCATCTCTTTTCCATATACCTACCCTTTCCTAATTGGTTTTCTATTCTGTCAAGCCCACATTTGAGTTGTATCTTCGCTTTAACCTTTTTTGCATACTCACAAACCAATCAGCATGCACACCCCATCCTGTGCTTATAAAGACCCCAGACTCAGTCATTAGAGGAGATGACAGCCTGACTGCAGGGAAGAGACAACCTGACTTCAGGGAAGATGACCTGCCCTTTCTGTCCCCTCTCCAGCTCCCTTCTCCACTGAGAGCCATTTTCATCACTCAATAAAATTCTCTGCCTTCACCATCCTTCAATTGTCCATGTGATCTCATTCGTCTTGGATGCTGGATGAGAGCTCAGGACCCATCAAGTGTGGGTACCCAGAAAGGCTGTCACAGCAGCCCTTTCCCCTTTCTGGTGGAGCAGCCACCCCACACGATGAGGCAAGGGGCCAACTGAGCTGTTGACACAAGTCTGCAGATGGCAGAACTAAAGGAGCACTGTAACACCCCCTCTGGGGCTTTGGGGTTGCAGTCATCCTTACCTGGGTGTTGCTGCATTCCCCTCAAGGTGACATGCCTGGTCTGGATGCAGGCCCTGCACAGAAGTTGCTCCTGTGTCAGCAGTCAGAGCAGCCAGCTGGATCCTGCACTTGCTTGCTCATATGCTCCCTCCTGCAAGGGGTTGAGCATGGCAGACCGAATAGGTGGGGTGCCCCTTCTATGAGTCCATTGAAAGGGCCAAGAAAAATCCTGCATTAAATGCACCAGGCCCTCACTGTCCCAGGTACTGCAGATGAGCCAAAGATATGTATGACCGTATTTGTGTACATATGTGGCTTATAAGCATGTGTACAAATAGAAAAATACGCTAGGCTGGCTGTGTCTGAATAGACTCTCTTGAACCTCTTGGTTCCAGCCCCCAAAGAAGTAATGATTTCATCAAACAGATGCAGAACCTCCACCCCTTGAGATGGAGAACTACTGACTGCTACCTGCTTTTCTGGTCATAAGCTGAGTTTTCTGCCCCTTTGTCCTCAAGTGGCTTTGAATTTTGTTCTTTTGAGAAAATGCTCCTGAGGATACAGGAACAGAGTCCCAGCTATTTTCAAAGGTAAAAACCAGCCTTCCTCTCCCTGTACTCTGTGTCTTCACACTCATCATGTCATCTTCTCTCTTCCACTCGTGGGCTCTCTCAAATGCTTCACTGACATTCCCCTCGCACAAGGCCACAACTGGCCATGGAGTTCTCATTAATAAAATGGTGCTACTTGATGTTCAGTCACCTTACATGATTTTTGTGAAAATTAACTATGAAGTTTGAGGGACTTTTCTTAATGATATGAAATGATAGTCCCGTTTCTTATAACTTTTTTTTTGATGAAAGTAAAAATACTGTGACTTTAGCATTCTGCCTCCAACAAATCTACCTCTCTTTGGCCTGAGGCAAGTCACCTAATCTTATATATCAGTTTCCTGTGTGTAAAGCATGGAAAACAATTGTTACCTAGCTCACTGGGATTGCCAGGTTTAATTAGTTATGACTTTAAAAGGTTATACAAATTGCTTTGTAAATTATTCATAACAATGATAGCATACAACTCCTTTTGATATCTTTATTCCTTCTCTGATTTCTTCCATATCTGGTTCTTCTGCTATAGAAATAAAAAGTCGTTAGTGCTGAATTTGTATATATTTATCTGCATTTCTTCCTTTTCAATATTTTAAGGATCTTACGTAATATCACAGAAAATGTAAAAACGTTCAGAGAACTCCTTCCTCTGGTCTCTTGAAGCCATTAGTACAGTGGTTTTCAAAGTGGCATCTTCAAACTAGCATCAGGAATGCCTGAGTCGCCAGTTCCCAAAATGTGCACCAGGGCACTCTGGGGCACTGTCGCAAACTCACACAGGAGCCTTGGGATATTTTTTAAATTCTTGAGAGACTCACAAGCAACACGGGACATCTGTCAGACATTCAGCAAACTACTAGTCCAAAGTAGTTCACGCTTTCGACATGAGATTCTGTCAACAACATTCCTTTCCATGAGTCCATATCTAGCTGGATTTTTGGCAGATGCTGTGATAAAAAGCAGGTGCTATGTGAAAATCAATATGGAACAGAAAATAAGGCTGGCAATAGCCCATCTGATTCCCAGGTTCGAGAAACTGTACAGTGTCCAGCCAGTGCAGACATCTCATTATTAAGTCATTGTGGTTATTATTAAAATATTATTTTTCTTTCAATTTAAGGGTGTTTTTAAAAACAGCTGCTAAGTTGTTAGGACACAAATACTTCTTCAGGTGTTTCAGTCTATGTACTTAATAAATGCAACTGTGAGGTATTTCTTTTGGCCTAGAAACAGAGTTATCAGAAAAGTCTGGTGGCCCTGTTGAAGGACACTGTGCAAAAACTACTGAGGCCTTGAGGACACCAGGAGCCAAGGAAGTCTGGAAACCTCTGACATGAGAACTTGCTCCAGATGCAAATTCTTGGGTCCACTCCAGACTTCCTGAATCAGAAACTCTGTGGGTGGGGCACAGTGATCTGTGCTTTGGCCAGGCCTCCAGGTGATTCTAATGCATGCGCACGTTTAAGAAACATTGCATTAGCAGCTCATGTCCTAAGAGCAGCAGGTGTGCCTGGGCAGGTGGATGTTCCGTTGGTAAATTAACATCAGGCTAATCTCACAGTTTGAATGAGAAAGTACAGAAATGACCCAACTGGGGGCAAAAAAACCACCCCCAAATCAGTTTACATAAATACACGATGCATATATCTTGCTGTCTTAAAGCTCATTCCAGCCTCTTAAAATTATGAAAACGTACTGTTTTCATTACAAAGTGTGAGTAATTTGTGCTTTCTCTTTGGCATTTTGGGGAACCCGAAGTGCCTTTTGATTTTTGAAGACTGAATCACTCTATTATTGAGTGCTTCAGACTGCTGAGAATGAATCATATCATTCCTTTCAGAAGACAGAATTTATGGCTGGCCAGTAAGGCATGATGAAAATCTTTGGCAGGAATCTGATTTGTATTCTCTTCTGACTTGGTGGCAAGCAGGACTCTCCTCATACACCTTGTTAGTGTTTCTGTGGAGAGGAATAAGGAAGGACGAGGTGCAAGGAGGCCCCTGGGTTCAGTGGGAATGTATGGCTGTGTGAGTGTTAGAGATTTTGAGGAAAATCTCTTGTGCTGAATAGCAGACCTCAGTTTTTCATCCTGGTTAATCCCCTTAAGCCTTTGTACATATGCAGAGATTTCCAAACTTTGGAGTGCTAAATCAGAAGCTTTCAGCAACAATCTTCCTTGGCATCCCCTGTTTCCTTAGCGATATGGTGGTCTAATGCTGAGCATATGGAAGCCAGTCAGGAAAGTGCATCTATGTGGATACAGGGGAAGAGCAATCTTTATTATCTTGAGTCCTCTGATACTGGAATGGTTTCAGTGCTTGACCTTGAGGTGACAGCAGGAATCAACTGGTCCTCAATTCCTTGAGGACAGTGAGGACAGTGCATTACAACCACTCTGGCTCACAACAGCTACTCAATAGCTTTCCTCAATGTTGTTGCGTTACTGTTATTACTTTTAGAAATTAAATTATGGCCATCTTCTGAGATTGGTATAAATTCATTCCTTTGTCTTAAAAATTTCAGTCTCTTCTTCAGAGTTTGATAATTTTTGACCATTGATTTCTTCCTGAAATTCTTTCTTCCCTTGGATATATATTATACCTTTGGTTTTCACTGCTCAATTTTCTTCTTTCTTCCTTTTCTTATATCTACATGCTTTCCCCAAAGATC